GTGTAAAAACAAAAGATTGACCGTGGGCCAGTCACTTAAACTGCCGATGCACCAGTCAGCTTTCTAAGAATATAAGTTTTAGATGAGCTGCTGATCTGAATTTCCATGCTAGGAGCAGCTTATACTAATGGAATTTAAAACCTGCTTCTCACTCCAAATATACACAAATACAGTACACATTGTATTTGGAAAAGTTATTTTGACATTGGAAAGTTATCCATACATCAAGGATGGGCTGTGGTTAAAACAATAGGCCTTCCATCCACATGTCATTGAAAATCCATAGACCTTTCACATGGCTCACTCACTTGGTATTGAAAGGATATGTGGCTTGTTCTAGCACACCACATAGAGTATAGCACATAATAGGTGCTTAATAAATGTTTGTTGACTTGATTTAGTTCCTTTGGTGGTCCTCAACTGGGAGACCTTTAAAGACAAAATTGGAATTAATGAGTGGAATCTACAGAGAAACAAGTTTAGGTTTATATAAGAAGAAAAAAAAAGAACCCTTCTTGTCAGAGCTATCCAAAAGTGAAATGGGATAGCTCATGAGGTGGTAAGTTCCCCCTCACCAGAGGTCTTCATGATGGAGGGCTGTTTGTTGAATACACATCAGAGAGGGATTCCTTCAGATGTGGATTGGACTGCAGGCCCCTTCTGACTGAAATTCTCTGTGGCTGCCCCGGACTCTAGTCTTTCGGTCTGTGGAGATACAGCCAGCATCAGCTTAGGTTTCATCATCAGATGCCTCACAGTCCCGGTGCCACACAAGCCAGTGACCTTTTGGCCAAATAGTTTCACTGGACCACTGTGGAGCTAAGTTCTTATAGTCTTCCTGGAGTCCATGTTAATGCCCAGTTGGTCCTCTCAAACACTGCACTGGCGCATCACTCATTTGTCAACATAGTTCATGCCAAATTTGTGGAATATGCTGTTTAGGGTAATGCTGCACAGCCATGTGAACTTCCATTGATAGGCCCCAGCCAATCAGCGTTGGAATTTGAGGCAAGAGAAAGGGCAAATGCTTCAGTAGGTGTTTTCTTGTGGGCCAAAATGGATATTTGAATATTATAAGTCCAGCTGCAGCGGCATGTTTGTGATAAGCATTGAGTATATTACAAACCTGTTTAGTTATTTAATTTATCTAACATAGTTTGTGGTTTCTTGAGGTTGTACTAGAAGAGTATGGGGAGCATCTTTGCCTTCCAGGTACATACCTTAAGAGAATTTGTTCTTTAGGTCTGTGTTGAAGTTGGCATTTGTCTGTGTACTTGTCTTATCTCCTCTACTTTTTTAAAGTTCCTGGAGGTCAAGGACAGTGTCTTTCTCATCTTCCTACCCCATCCCCCTTGTGAAACCTTTTCTATTTGTTGCATATAGTAAGTGTTCAATGCATAACATATAATGGATATGAATGAATGAAGATCAGTAAATAGAAATTTGGTGAATATGACTTTTTACTTTGGTAATTTATATTTTTTAGGTTTGGCAGCTCAGTACTTATAGGAGCTATTTTTTTCCTTTCTGGTACTTTTCCTAAAATTAGGGTATACTCTCATCAGATGAGCAGTGGTTTTAGTATGAATGATAAAGTACATACTTTTGTCCGAAATCTAGATAAGATCATTTTCTTTTCATTGTTCTTTAAAAAAATCAAATTGCATCACTAAAGTTACTTCCATATCTATATCATGTGTTCCTTTGAAAACCGACCTCTTTATTCAAAAACAGTAAGGCATAGCAGCATTTTAAAACACTAGGCAAATCACTTAACCTCTATTTGCCCCAGTTTCCTCACCTGTGAAATGAAGATCATAACAGTACCTACCTCCTAGGGTTGTTGTGAGGATCAGATGAGATAATATTGGTAAAGTGCTTAGCGCAGTTCCTGGCATATAGTAGGCTCTTAATATATGCGTGTTCCCTTCCCCTCTTTGGAAGGATAATCCAGAATAATATGACATGATAAGGTAACATGGTATAGTGGGAAAAAAAGAATAGAGCTAAAGTTAAGACTTGAATTTGAATCCTGGGTCTACTATGTACTCCCCTATGATCTGTAGCAAGTGCTTTTGCCTCTCTTCCTCATCAGTTTCCTCATCTGGATTAGATTAATTCTAAATTCCCTTCCAGCACTAAATTCCTATAATTAGAGGAAATGTTCAACAAACACTTAGGTAGAGTTTGGCAGTTTTCTCACAAATGTTCAACTATTACTTAGCGCTGTTTAATCCAACCCTGGTTTTATCGTAGTCTTTTATTATAGTAAAATGCTTCTTTTTCCCTCACCCCAAATCCATCAGATTTGAGTTGAAGTCAGCAACCAGAGACAGCACTGTCAGCTCTGCCCAGAGTATGTTTATAGCTGTGGGGCTTCTTTTGATTCATGTCATTATGAACTAACATTTCTTGACTGTTTTATTGAAGGCACTGTGCTATGCAGGGAGGGAGATAAAGGTGTATGAAATAATGTATTCACCCTTAAGAAGCTTTGGCTACTCAGGGAGATGATCTAATACATAAACAACCATACAAGATAGCTTATATTGTCCATATTGCTTCATTTGGCAATAAATACTAAAAGAATTGGAAGGAGCGGAGTTCTTTGAAGGCTGGTGAGGCCAGGGAAAGCTTCACGGACCTAGTAAAACTTGAATTAGGCCTTAAAGGATAGATAGGATACAGGCAAGGGGAAGTGAAGGGAGACGACTTTCCAGGTAAGAGCGCTGTCACAAACACAGATGCAGAGTCAACAATGTACATAACATGTTTGGATGACAGTAAGTAAACTAATTAATTAGACTTTACTTGAAGGGGCAGCTAGGTGGCGCAGTGGATAGAGCAGCAGCCCTGAAGTCAGGAGAGCCTAAGTTCAAATGCGGCCTCAGACCAAACACTTGACACTTACTAGCTGTGTGACCCTGGGCAAGTCACTTAACCCCAATTGCCTAAAAGTTAAAAAAAAAAGACTTTAGTTGAGTGGTTAGTTTAGAGAAGTAGTTATTTGTAGATGTAGATAAAGGCCGAATTGTGTGAAGCCTTGAATGTTACAATCAGGAGTTTGAACCAAATTTGTTAAGCAGTAGGTAGCCTTTGCAAGTTTTTGAAGAGGAATGTGACAAAGTGATATTTTAGGAAAATTAATCTTACAGACAGTGTTTATGATAAATTAGAAGAATGAACACGAATTAGAAAGATGTTCTAGTAATCCAGTCATGAGGACATGAGGGAATAGGTTGTGACAGGGTAAAGAAAAAGAAAAAGAGAAACTCCAAAGATATTATGAAGGAAGATTCAACAGAACCTAGGACAAAGTCAGTACTGGGGGTGGGGGAAGGGGGAGAATCAAGTATGACCGAGTTTAAAGCCTAAGTGACTCATGCCATTTATAGTAATAAACAAGGTGAGAAAGGTTGCAGTTTTGGAGAAAAGTTGAGTTTTTCCTTAGACATTTTGAGTTTGAATTGCTTGGGAAACAGTGTGAAATTAAAGAAACTGAGGCGAACACACCAATAGTTTGGATTTGAGAGTCATCCATAAAGGTGGTAGTTAAAGCATATATAGAGGCAGTATGATTTGGACTGGGAGCCAGGGGAACCTGAGTTCAAGCCCCATCCCTGACACATACTGGCTTTGTGACTGACTCTGGGCAAGTCATTTAACCACTTGGTGCTCTAGGCAACTCTCTTAAGACTGCAAGTTGAAGAGAAGGTACTGACCAAATTAGTAGGGGGTTTCCTTATTAGTAATCTCCTATACCAATGAAATCACAGACAGTTTCCTATAGCATATTTCTTTAGAAATAATTTTTGCAGAATAAAGCAATATATAAGTAGATTCCTTACTTTAATTAAACATTGAATTCAACAGTTAAAATTTTAAAATATTTTTTTTCAATTTTTGGAAAATGATTTTCAAGGTTTTTTCTCTTCTGAATTTTCCAGTCGTATTTAGGGGTTTATCATATCTTTTCACAGTCATGTGAAAATTGGTATAATTGGCATAAGAAGTTGTATACCTTTAATGTGCAAGCCGTGAATTAAAGTGAATTGAAAGTCATTTTTGGCATATGCCAACTAGACAAGTCTATGGAAAGAACCATAGTTTATAGTCTATAAAGCATATTATAGATTCTAAATTGGAAGAAAAAAGAGGAGGGAGGGCTGTGTGGATTTCTAGGCTTGTTATTGAAAAATTGAGGAAGTGGAAAAATGGCAAATCTTGAGTCAGCAGTTTAAAGCTAATGATCAATATTGATTTGCCAAACCACATCTTCCCTCATCACCCACCATCTTCCAGGATTAAATCATACTTTTGCCTTGAAGATTGTGTGTAATTACAGACTGGAGCTAGAGCTAAAATACAATCTGCCTAATTTGGAAAGGAATTTTCTTAAGCCATCTTAAACTGAATAACCCAGTATGGCTTTCTAATAATACTACTGTAGTCTTGACTTCATGCCAGCCAGCGACTGGACATTTGGCTTTCCTTTTCACAGTCTGAATTTGTAGCAGGCCAATTTCTTTTTTTTGCCATCCATGCCTTTACATTTATTTAGATGAAAATTATATTAATAATATTGTTGCAAGGAAAATACAAGAAAATTATCATAGGATAATGCATTTGGTTCAAATTTAGATCTTCTGTCATTGTACCTTTCACATTTTTGTTTCAGACATTCTCTGCTCTTTGACATGGTTTATTTTAGTACTTCCACTGCAAATGGTAAATTCTTCCTCTAGTAGCAAAACTTAATGAAAATGTTTTTTGTATATTATTACAATCATGGCCCTTGCCTAGGTTCCCTGAAGGAGGATCCTCAAGGGAAGTATAAATAGATGCTTACCTGGTTTGCTGGTAGAACTCACCTTAAAAATTGCCAGTGTCTATGCTTTATCTCCCATTCCTGAATTTTGATACTTAGACATGTTGAGAGAAAAGGGAGTGTTGGAAATCAGGGACTGCCTGCCTAATTTTAACCCTTTTGTTTTTCCCAGCTTATTTCCAGTGATGCTGATGGAGCCATACAAAGGGCTGGAAGATTCAGAGTGGAAAATGGCTCTTCAGATGAGGTAAGGGAGTATATTCAATGCCCAACTTTTTACCATGCGCATTAAGCACCTATGACACAATGACGAGCCATTTGTGGAGCTTATGTTCCACATGCTTACTATTCATCAAGGCACAAGCTGTTTTATTAAGTATTAGGCACTGGGGATACATAGACAAAAATGAACAGTCCCTGCCCACAAGGGTTACATTCAAACAGGAGAGATGACATGCCCATACGTGTGTCTGCAAAACAGATACAAGGTCATCTTGTGGAGAGGGGAGGCCTTGGAGTTGGGGGTGGGGAGGCAGGTAGAGGGAGAACCAGGAAAGGCCTCACATAGAATTGTGCCATTTGAAGTAAGTCTTGAAGGAAGCCATTGATTCTAAAAGGGGGAGGTGAAGAGGTAAAGCATTCCAGACATAGGGGCACAGTCACTGCAAAAGCTTAGAGATGGAAGGTAGTATGTCTTGTATAAGGAACTGTAAGAAGGCCAATATGGTTAGATCAAAGAGCACGGCATGAGGAACATATGAGGTGTAAGAAGGTTAGTGTGGAGGATGGATAGCTAGATGGTCCAGTGGATAGAGCATCAGCCCTGGAGTAAGGAGACTCTGAGTTCAAATCTGGCCTCAGACACTTGACATTTAGTAGCTCTATGACTGGCAAGTTGCCCCGAAAAAAAAAGTTGGTAGGGTAGGTGGGGCCAGGTGGTAAAAAGCTTTAAATGCCAAACAGGGGAGTTTATATTTGATCCCAGAAGTAAGAGGAAGCCACTGTAGTTAATTGGATGGATGGGGGGAATAACCTTAGGAACTATGTATATGGAGGGTAGATTGGAAAGACAAAAGCCTTGAGGCAGGGAAACCAGTTAGGAGGCTGTTGTTCAGGTGAGAGGTGATGAAGGCCTGAACTAAGGTGGTGGCTGTATGAGTAGAGAGAAGGGGACATATTGCAAGATGTTTTGGAGGTAGAAACAAGATTTGGCAACTTATAGGATGTATGAGGTGAGGGGTAAATGGTAACACTGAGATTGCAAAGCTAGGTGACTAGAAGGGTGGTGGTAGCCTTGACAGTAGTAGGACATTTGGAAGAAGAGAAAAGAGTATGGGGGGGGTATGGAAAATGATAACATGTTTTAGACATGTTGGGTTCGAAATGCCTGTGGGACATCCAGTTTAAAATGTGTAGTAGGTCACTGGTGATTCTGAACTGAGGCTCAGAAGAGAGACTAGGGTACAATATGTAGATCAGGGAGTCATCTGGGTAGAGATATTAAGAAACCAATAGGAAATGATGATGTCACCAAGCGAGAACAGAGAGAGGAAAGACAAGAAGGCACAGGACAGAGCTGGGGAGACATCCACAGTTGGGGGCGTGACATGAACAGTGAACCAACAGAGGAAATTGAGAAGGAGCAGTCAGACAGATGTGAGGAGAACCAGGAGAAAGCAATGTCACGAAAGTCCAGAGAGTAAAGGAGGAGATAGTAGCCAGCACAGATAAGAAGGAAGACTATGGAAGATAAGGTGGGATTTATTGATAAACTGTGGCCCAGGGTTTCAGTGCATCTCCTCGGAGCTTCATGCATCATCCCTGAAGGAGGCATTAAGACAAAGGTTGTAATGAAGTGTGCTGCTATCATAGGCCATCCTTGGTGTGTTGGCAGCTTTCCTGTACAACATGGGTGATATAAAAGGGAATATCTGAAGTATTCCAACATAAGACACAGGAGAATGTTCTCCCAACAACAGAGGAGAAATGTACAAAGGGGTGTGTGTGTGTGTGTGTGTGTGTGTGTGTGTGTGTGTGTGTGTGTGTGTGTGTAAAACAGACCTTTGTCACTAACAGTGGCAAATTCTGCCTTCTACTGTCAAGCAGATTGGCTGCTCTTGTTCTGATATGTGCTACATAGGTAGTTCAACAAGCCCAGAAAAGTAAGGGGAAAAAAATCATTGAGATATATACACAAACATAGTATGTTATAGCCTTTATTAAAACAGCACTGTTGATAACAATAAAAATAATTGACATTTACATAGTATTTTATGATTTACAAAGTGCTTTACCTAAGGTATCTCATCTGATCTTCAGGGCACTTAGCACAGAGCACAGTGCCTGGCAACATAGTATGTGCTTAATAATGCTTCTTGGCTTGACCCTGTGAAGTGAGCAGTGCTAGTATTACTGTCTTCATTTTGCAGATAAGGAAACTGGAGCTCGGCGAGGTTTAAGTGATATGCCCAGGGTCACACACCTAGTTCATGGCAGAGCTGGAATTTGAATCCAAGTCTTCTGAATATAAGTCAAACTGCTTCTTTCGTTGCACCAGTTGCCCCAATAACTTTTAACTTATCTTCAGCATTTTCCATGGAAAATGTTCAATATAAGTAAAATTTCCAGGTAATTGAAACTTATTCTTTTGTAGTTTCGTAAAACCTGTTGGCCCCTTTTCAGAATAAATTAAAAGAGGTCTAATTAAAAGAAATGCCAATTTTAAGTTGGAGATTAGTGAAAATAAAGATGCTTCTTTTTTTACATTCAAGTTAATAGATTCCCCACAATCTGTCCATGGACCCCTGCCCCAGGTTAAGAACCCCAGCTTTAAACAAAGCTGCTTTTATTTTCCCTGTTTTAGATGGAAATCTTTCTAAAATGCCTCACACACATCCCTTTCTTTTTAAACATAGGATGTCTCTTGGTCATTAATCCTTCCTTGATGATTCATGTTTATCATTCTAAACTTCAGTTTTTCTTCTTTGCCTGCCCTGAGGTTCATGCTGTTGAGCTCTGCAAGGCTTTTTGACCCTAAACTAAAGGACCTCAGACTGCTGTGGTTTTGAGTTATGTTTACTTTTTAGAATGTATTTTGTTTCTTTACTACTGGTAGCTGATCTTTACTCTGTGAGCCATGAGTGCCTTTTGTTAGTGGCTGCATCTCTGCACTAAGTGGTTGCTTCTAATCTGTGGTGCCCTGGAAAACCAGTTAGCCATACTTGTTAGAACTGTGACTAAAATGGGAACGAACAGATTTTGAGAGAGCCTTGGGGAGATTTTCTATAAATAAGATGTATGGGCATTAGTATGTGAAACAAAGATAACATTCTGGAGTAGAATGAACAGTAGTCTTAAGATTAAGTTTGAGTCTTGGCTCTGCAATTTATTAGCTATATGACCTTGGATAAGTCCCATAAGTTTCCTCATCTGTAAAATGGGGACAATGGCTATACTACCTACTTTGGAGGGTTTCTGTGAAGAAAACACTTTGTAGGTCAGGAAGTGCTATACAAATGTGAGTTCTTATTTATCTGTCTCATAGGATTTAGAACTGAAAGGGATTTTAGCAGTAATCTAGTCCAGCCACCTCATTAACAGAGAAAGAAACTGAGACCCAGGAGATGTAAAGTGACCTGTTCAGGGCCTCACAGCTACTCAATGGCAGAGCCAGGATTTAAACCCAAGGGTTTTTTAACTCCTAAAAGAGCAAAGGTTTAAGTGCATTGTACTTTCCACTATACCCCATCCTGAGCAGAGGCCTTTACTGTTTTCCTTCTCAATTCTTAAGACAATGGAAGAGGTAGAAAGAATCTCAGAGGTCATTTAGTTTTTTGAACAAGAATCCCCTCAGTAATACTTCTAACAAGGTCATCAAGCTGCTTCTTGAAGACCTCAGGGAAAGGAGAGCTCGGTAGCTCTCAAGAGAATACAATCAATCCATCAACAAGTATTTATTAATATTTATTAAGCCCATTCTGCTTTTGAACCACTCTAATTGATCTTCTTTATGTTTAACTGAAATCTGCCTTAATGGAGCTTTTAGCAATTGGTCCTAGGTCTGTTTTCTGAACCCAAGAAGAATATGTTTAATTCTTCTTCCACATGACAGCCTAGGTGGAGTAAGAAAGAGGGTAATAGGGAAACTCACTAGTATATTACTCTATTACTATATTTTATATACATTATATAATATATAAGATTGCTGTATATAAAATATCATTGTTATATAATGATATCTTATATCATTTCTGTGGTTTTGAAACACCTTCATTTCCTTGCACCTGGCTTGCCAACCAGAACTCAGGTTTAGCTCCATCAGCTCCTGTCATTCCCTCAGTCTGCTCTATTTTGGCATCCCCCAGACTCCCCCAAGTCCTGATGTGTTAGAGCACTGGACCCTATTAACCAGCATGCCTGAAACTAAATTTCCAGCTCTTCTGTTTAATAGCTCTGTGATGTAATATTAATCTTGTCATTCCTACCTCCACATCATCTTTCATGTCCAGCTCCTCACTACAATACACAACCGCCATCTTAATTCAGGCCCTCACAGGGATTATTGCAGTGCTCTTCTAATTGGTCTGCCTGTCTCAGGTATCTTCCCAAAGCACAGATCGGATCATGTCACTCCCTTATTAAGTACACTTTTTGTTGTTGTTAAGTCGTTTCAGTCACGTCCAACTCCTCATAACCCCATTTGGGGTTTTCTTGGCAAAGATACTAGAGTGGTTTGCCATTTCCTTCTCTAGCTCATTTTACAGATGAGAAAACTGAGACAAACAGATTTAAGTGACTTTCCCAGGGTCACACGGCTAGTAAGTGTCTGAGACCAGATCTGAACTCAGGTCTTCCTAATTCTAGGCCTGGAACTCTATCCACTGCACCACCCAGCTGCCCCAAGAAGAGGAAGAGCTTTCAGCCTTCCTCTAAGCCAACCCTTATCTGGAAAAGAATCCCAACTATAATCTGTCTGACAGTAGGTCATCCAGCCTTTGCTTGTAGACCTCCAATGAGGGAGTACCCAGTACCTCCCAGGCAGCCCAGCCCGTTTTTGGAAAGCTCTAATTATTTGTAATTTTTTTTCTGACATCAAGCCTAAGTTTGTTTCTTCACAATTTCCCCTCATTGCGCCTAATTCTGCCCTCTGAGGCCAAGCAGAAAAGTCTTAATTTCCTCTTCTTTGTGACCACCTGTAGGATACTTGAAGACCCCTATCATGGTACCCCTGAGTCTTCTCTTTGAAAAGATAAACATCTGTAGTTCCTTCATCTGATCAACATATAGTATGGACGTGAAGTCCTTCAGCATTGTGGTTATCTTCCGTTTTTGCATAGCACCCAGGTAGCGCAGTGAATAGAGTTGTAGGCATGGAGTCATGAATACCTGAGTTCAAATCCTTCCTCAAATACTTACTTGCTGTGTGACTTAGGGCAAGTCATTTAATTGCTGTGCATGTCAGTTTCATCATCTGAAAAATGGGAATAATAATATCACCTACCTCCCAGGGTTATTGTGAGCATAAAATGAAATAAAATTTGCACATGCTTTACAAATATTAAGTCTGTATTCATCATGATCATTACTCTCTAACTTGTCAATATCTTTCCTGAACCATAGTGTCCCAAACAGAACACAATGTTCCAGGTGTGGTCTGACCAGGGCAGCTTTGGTACTTATCACTTCTGTGATCTTGGGCAATTATGCTTACCTCCTTGGGCCTCACTTTCCTCATCTGTAAAATGAGAAAGTTGGACTTGATCTAAGGTATCTTGCAGCTATAGATCTGTGATTCTGAGGTCCTGTAATTACATAATATTTAAAGTAGCTCCCAGCCCTAAATTATGTGATCTATGAATATGCTTGTGAGTACACAATAGGTACCCAGTGCTTATTGAGAATTTGTGAAGAAAACATAAAGCGGTGAGGGATTTGAAGATCACATTTAATACATAAGGTAGAAACACTGGGCCAGAGAGAGAGACACATGACATCAGAGACAGAATTGGTAATAGTTAATTTTATCCCCTGAACTAATGAAGCCAGACCCTAGACTTCTCTAGTGACAGAGAAAGACTGGAGGCCAGTTATTTAGGACACACATTGACACTGTGCTATAAGGTTTACAAGGCTTTTTTCTTAGAACAATCCACTGAGGTATATAGTCCAAGTATTATTATTCCCATTTCACAGGTTAGGGAAATGAGGTTCAAATAGGCTAAGAGACTTGCCCATGGTCACATGGTATTTAAGGACAGGGATTTGACCCCAGATCTCCTAACTCCATCCCTGCACTTTACCATACTGCAATTCCTCTCAGGTCACTATCAGTTTTCAATGGAACAGGTACTTTTGAAAAAGTATTTTCCTATCATTTCTCTGTTATTTTTACTTGCACACCCTGCTTGTTTACTTCAGGTTGTGTTTACTCTTTCTGAATAAGCTTCTAATGGCATCATTTTGCTCCATTTCAGAATGCTCCTAACTTGCCAGGTATCTGGCGTAGAACAGATGTGCACCTGGAAAACCCAGAGTATCATACCAGATGGTATTTCAAGTATTTCTTAGGACAAGGTAAGGATATTGTTTTAGAAAAATGGACATTTGAACTGACTTAAAATGAAAAAAAAAAGCTTTGATATAATTTATATAAACCTACATTAGACTCACTTGATCCGTTTGGTGCATTTGATACTTAATTCAGAACACTGACTTCAAGGTTAAAGATAAGCTTTATAAAATTAAAGGTTCATTTCATACAGAAGACCATTTATATGAATCTTAACCAATAATTTTTGCTCTGGAAATGAAGGGTTAAAAGGTAGGATGGAAATTCACTGCATTGAAAAAAGACTGTTAGAGTCTGTAGAATTGAGTACCACGTATAATGTAGCATATTCTGTGTGCACTTTGTACTTTGTATCTCCTTGATAAATAGTAAACAGCTCTCCACCAAATTGCAGATGGAAATGGGTAAATGAGGTCATGTGAAGCATTGGTACTAGTGAGGGGCATGTTTGAATGCAGAGGAAGAGCCTGTATGAGAGGCTGAGATTAATGATAGAAGGAGTAGGAAATGAAGAAATCATCATAATGCCAGAGATTAGAAGACCAGAGAAAGGGAGAGGGTGTAGCTGGCTGCTTAGGGATGTTCCTTTAATTCTTTCATGCCCCCAGGGTGCTGTTTTGGGCATAAAGTAGCAGCTGGTTACATATTCTCTTAATACTCTGAAGAAATCAACAATTTAAGAAATGGCTTAACTTCCTACCAGAGAACAGATTGCAAACACAGAACCAGACTCAGTGAGTCACTAACTCCCCATTGACTGTCAAATAAAGGAGAAAATCTGTCCTCTGGCACTTAACGGGTAGTATGGCTCCAGGCTTTCTACTTGTCTAGCCATCACACACAACTTCCTTTCTGTGTTCCTGCCAAAATGGACTGTGCTCCATTCCCGTATTCTTGCCCTGCTCTCTCACCTCTCTGCTTGCACACACTGTCCCCCTCTGCTTCCTTACTTCCTACCTACCCACCCCCATTTCCAACTGCTGGAAGTCTCTCCCTGCCTTTAAGTGCCAACTCAGATGTCTCCTCCTTCATGAAGCCTTCCCTGACACCCCTGCCTTTACTAAATAAAAGTTATTTCCTCTCGATTCACATTTCTTATACCTGAATCTCTCCTTTGCCCTTATCTCACTCCTTTGTGTCATAGTTATTTGTGTATGTGCCCTTCTCAATTGATTGAGTTATAAGCTCCTAGAGACAAAGCTATATGTTATATCTGTCTTTGTGCCTTAGACACTGTCTATGCTTAAACATTTCTTGAATTGAAATTGTTTTATGTAAGATTTTGAACAAGAATTACACAGTGAGAAGGTCTGAATGGGTTGGGTTTTCCACCAGTAGAGGAAAGTATCACTTACTATGCAACATGAAGAGATCACAGAATTTTTGAAGAACTGAAGTCACGTGATAGACTAAATACCAAAAGAAGAGGAAATACTGCAAGTCTGGTACCTGCCTTCAAAGAATATATCCAAAGTGTTATCAAGGTTTGATGAACACTCACAGTTGCTTAACCTTTCTTCAGAGAAAAATGAATGTTTTTAATTTGTGAGAAAATTGGATCAGGTAGAAACAAGATATTTTAAAATGCAGTAGAGTAGTAAAGGTATTAGAATAAAGAGGAGATTAAAAATGAAGGAGGAAGGGAGGGTGCTACAGTTGGGCAAGCAATGGATGGCCAACCTGAGGCCTGGCCTCTGAGCCTGGCTCCACCACCAACTTGATTTGTAACCTTAACTTCTCTTAGTAAGTAATCCCCTTAACCTCTCTTATCCTCATTTTCTTCCTTAATAAGCGACCTGTAATGGTCCCTTTTAGATCTAAAAATTTTATGATTTCAGTTAATTTTCTTGCCAGATAAAGGGTAATTCAGAGTTATGGAAAGAGGTAGAAAACTTGTAGTAAAAGAAGTTAGTATGAAACCTGTCTTCTGATGTTTGACAGCGTTCAGGTATAAAGAGAGCAGGTAGGTTTGTGGGCCAGTCTGGCCTTGCAGGATGGTGGAATAAAAAAGAAGAATGAAAGAGCAAATTGTAACTCTGCAATTCTGAATACATTTCTTTTCCAGTTCATCAGAATTACGTTGGCACTGATATAGAGAAGAGCCCTTTCTTTCTGTCTGTAGCACTTTCTGACCAGAACAATCAACGTGTCCCTCAATACCGGGCAATTCTCTGGAGAAAAACAGTAAGTACTAAAAATGATTGAAGTCTAGATTGTACCCTCAGTTTTATGATATTTTTAAGGTTTGACTTCTTATATTCATTCATTCATTCATTCATTATATATTCATTCTCTCTTATATTCATTATATTATATTATTCATTGTATTATATTCATTCAACGGGTATTTATTGAATGCTTCCATGTGTAAAACAAACAACAACAACAACAAAACCCATGTCATGCACTAGGAATAATGCTGTTCCCAGAAGGAGTTTAGAATCAGATTAAGTTTGAGTTGGCTCAGATAGGGACTTAAGCACCTTTGTGTAAAGGCCTTTGACCCTTACTTACTACTCGACAGTGCTGCCCAGAACTGCAGCTCAGTTGTGGACGACTGTTTCTAATTCTTGTGAGGCTGGTACAGCTGGTAGCTACCACACCCAGTCTAGAAATGCGGAAGTTTGTGTAGTCTTAGAGCTGGAAAGGATCTCCAACGCCATTCCATTGATTTTGCAGATGAGGACACTGATAACCAGACTTCATGGTTTCTAGGGGTTTGATGGTTGTATGAGGGAGAGGGAGAGGGAAAAGAGAATATGGGAGCATTTATTACGTGTTCCTCTCTGCAAGACGTTGTGATAAGGACTGGGAATACAAACACGAGCAAGCTGATCCACCCCTGCCCTTAAGAAGCTTTGATTCTAATGAGGGAAGGTGACAAAAAAAAAAAAGTGATGGTGGAAGTGGGAGGCATTGGTGGCATGCAAGCATCAGCATGGCATGGGGGTCTGGGTCCCAGAAAAATAAGGCGAAAGCTCACTTATCAGAGTTGGTAAGGCCAATGTCACGGAGGTCCTGGGTACTGGCGACATAAGGTAAAAACTTACCTTTCAGACAGGGTTCCGTGGTAGGATGGAGATGCAGATGACAGCCAGAGGGAAAATGGCATTATTCTTAGTGTACATCAGTGAAACTGTCAGCTTATTAGAGTAAAATTGTCTCTAGTGAAGCTACCCATTAGAAAATGATGTCAGTTTGTCAATGGAGAAGAGTTATTGAATAATCACAATGGATCAGCTTAGATGTGATCAGATTCCTAAGGGACAGGAAGTTGAAAAATGAAGTGAAAATGACTGTGAGATGTAGCAGGACACCCCCCCCAAGCCACACATGAAAATTAGTCGCCGTTATTTATAAAGCATGCTGGTAGTTACCCATCACCTACTTGAATTTTAACAACCATATTTATGCAGTCAGAACAGTTGCATACATGTAGTTGTTAAAATTAAAGTTGGTTACACATAACTACCTGCAGCTTTTTATCTTGATCTCTTTGGAAACAAGTTATATTCAAAGATAAAGAATATTAGAACTGAAATAAACCTTAGTGATCAATCTGATCTGATTGTTCAGCCGTTTCAAGGAATCTGTGATCATATTTGGGTAGATAGTCCCTTCACCAGTGCAGATCACAGTTGTCCATACCTTCTCATTCTCATTCATTGTAACTCTTGTCCATATCCTTCTATAAAAAATTTCCATAAGAGATCATCTCTCCAGCACACTAGAGGCCTTTCTTTGGATCTTTTGGTATTTCACAGATAACAGTGTGACTGTCCAGGCTATTATCCCTTACTTTCACTACATGACCTACTCATCCTTTCTTCTGGTCATACGTGTCCTTGATGCTGTCTTTTATGTCACTTCTCATCCCAGAGTCATCATCGACATATTTTGAGGTTTTTCACACCCACCAAACATCTACAAATTGCCCTTTGGGCACTGACAGTTTTGATTCTTGTGAGGTTGTTATGTTCTGTGGTTTACCACCATAGAGCGCCAGTATTAAAAAAAGATGGGCTTTTGTGACAGAGAACAGCTTTCACTGAAAATGCTTGTAATTTCTCTAATGTAGTTCAGCCAGTTCAGGGCAGAAATGCAGGTCATGGAGTTGAGGAGGTTGCTAGGTCTTCATCGTGAATCCTGAAGTCCCTGAGGGTAAGGGCAAGGAGGATTGTGTGAGTCAGGTACAGAAGGCATCACAAGTGCTGGAAGAATAAATTGAGGATCAGTAAATAATAGCAACTAGCATGGGGATAGAGTGGTGTAAGCTATTCCATGAGCCTCAGAAGAGGAAGTAGAGGAATGAACTAGAACCTTAATTAGGGAGCAAAGACTATTCCTACCCCTCCTGGCTTTGTGAGTGAGGGAAAGACTTGGGAGAGAGAGTAGACTTAATGTAATGAGAGAGTAACCTCCAATGGGGAGAGTTAACAGAGGTTGTGATAAGCTCAGAGGAGACAGAAATTTTCATTAAATCAAGAAATTGAAAGTTATGTTGGTTGAAAAGTTTGTGGGTGTAGGAGAGTTACTGAGAATAAAAAAGGTGTTCCCAAGGACAGAACTGAATGAGTTAGCTGGGGTGAATTGGGTTGGAGATGGCCTGGGAAAGAATAGGGTTGATAAGAAGGAAGGTGAGAAGATGGGAGAAGGTAGTATTAGCATGCTGCTTGAGCTTAAGGTAGTAAAACTGGTTAATCAGGCTTGGAAAGCCAGTGCGATAGGAGGCAGTTTGATGTGGCTATGGTCTTCTGGTAAAACTGAGTGACAGAGGAATTAGAGTTAATCTGCATAGGAAATAGAATTAGAATTTCAGACTTTTGCCTGGCTACCACAGTGATTCTTCAAAAAAAAGAACCCACGACATGGGCTGTATAAATAGGAGCTGCTATTATTATTTTTCTCTCTTTATACAACTCATTTTGGCATTAGCTCACATATTTATTGTATGGGTATATCTTTTGTTTTTCTAATGAGATCCTAAGCCCCTTGAGAGAAGAGTTAAAATTCTTAAAATACTTAGTAGATGCTCAATAAATGCAAAAGAGAAAAGGAAAAAAAAATTATAGCATTGAGTGCTTACTCCTTGCAAGTCATAAGAAGGTGGTGATAGGTTTAAAAGACAAACATGAAAGTGGAAACTTTAGGGAAATTATAGGTAATGGAAGGCTTCTTTTCAGAATTGTTTTAGGTATCAGGAAAAGGGTAGAAAGGAGGATAGGGAATTCGCTGCCAAAGGACTCTTAATCAATCAGTGAGAAAATGAAGGAGTTAGAAGCATAAATGATAACAGCATGAACAAGCTGTTGGTGAAGAAGTGCTCTTGGGCCTTATGCTTGCTCTCACAGCTGAAACCTTCAAGGTATTTAAGAATTGCTTGAGCAAACCCCTTAGTGGCAGTTTTCTGTGAAATGTAGAGGGGGAGCTGAAATGAAGATAATGACACACTGAATCTTCCTTTGTTGTCCTGAGTTTGTTTATTAGGCTTTGTCTACATACCAAGGCCCCTTGGGTAGCTTTGCCAGGTATCAAAGCACCTATGGGCTTTATTTCTCTGCAGGATTGCATTTAAGTTAATCTTTATTCTGACAAGGAAAACATGACTGTTCTTCATTTATCATTTAACAGGAGAGAGACCTTGTTTGCCCTTCTGAAAGTTTTCTGCTTTCCCTCTTTTACTTCTCTCCTTGTGGCCCTGCTAAAATAAATGAAAAAGAAAAAGAAAAAAAAATATCATGCAGTAGTGTGAGAGTGCTTACCTGCATGAAAACTCCACAATATCAGTGTCAGAAATTGTCATAACTCGAGAGCACTGAGCAGCTCAATGCCAGGATTGGGAGGGTGGAAGGTGAACACAACGCTGGGATATTACAACACTGTTTCTGCCCACTTTGTGCAGCTGGTACATGTAATAGAGGAAGAGGCAATGCACCCGTTGCTGATGTATGAAACACTGGCCTCTTACTATTTTCCCACCTAATGTGACTGCTTCTTGGCAATCTCAGACCTTCACTAGCTCATCCTCCTCCTCCAACCCCTAAAGCATTGATGTCCTCCAAGGTAATGTCCTTAACCTTTTTCTTTCTCTCAGAAATCTCACGCCCTCCCATGACTTCATATCTTCATATGATACCCACATTTACATATTTTCTTATGATCTCTCATTATAATCCAGTCTTGAATTTCCATTTGCCCACTGCACATCTCCAGTAGGATCTTCCTTTAGCATCTCAAATTTAGAATATAAAAAACTGAACTTATGATCTTCTTCTCTTCTCATGGCTTCCCTATTTCTGTTGATAGTACCACCATCCTCCCATAATCCTATTCTCTCTTTGGCTCCTTCTACTCCCTCACCCTCAACATCCAGGCCATTGCTAAGTCCTATTAATTCTACCTTTGAAATACTGCTCCTTCCTCTCTATTTCACTGTTACCGCCCTGCTTCTAAATTTTATAAGCTCTCCCCTGGACTATTGTAATAGCCTCCTGAGTTTTTTCCCCACCTGTACTTTCTTCCCTTTCTAATCCATATTTCACATAAAATAATTATACTTCAATCCAGTGGATCTTTATTGAGCAGCTGTTATGTAATACAGGACACTGTGCAAGGCACTAAGAACATAAAGATAAAAATTAAAGTTACTGTTTACAAGGAGCTCAAATTCTACCAGAGAATGTAACATGTACCCAGGTGTGTAAATATAAAATTGATTCAAAGTAACTCCAGGAGGTAGAGAACAGTAATAATTGGGAAAACCAAGAAAAGCTTCGTGTGGGTCATCACACCTGAGCAGTGTGTTGAAGGAAGTTAGAGATCGTGAGAGGCAAGGGTGAGGAAGGAGTACATTGGTGCATTCTAAGACATAGGACATCCTAAGCAAAGGCACAGAGATGGAATGTCCTATGTGGGGAACAGCTGGTTTGACAGGAGCAGAAAGTGCGGGAAGGGGAGTAATGGGAAATAGGCCTGGAAATGTAGTCGAGACCTGTATTGTGGGGACCTATAAATACCAGGCTCTGAATTTTGTATTTTGTCCTAAAGGTAACGGGAGTCAATGAAGGGTTTTCTTGGTGGGAAAATGATGTGGTCAGATCAGTGTTTTAGGAATATTGGTTTGGTAGTGGTAGGGTAGTTTGGAGAGGAGAGAGGCTGTTGTGGGGGGAGACCAAATCACAGGT